CAGTTCATTGATAAGAGACGGATGATCATTTGCACCAGCTCTGGATGGATCAATATCACAATGGATCAGATAAGCCCAGTCACATAATACTTCCTCTTCCACTGCATTCTCAACATGTTTTTGCAGCATTGAGTAATTCGGCATAAGTGAGACTTTCTTCCTGCCGTTTCAAATAGTTTTCAATGTCAAAAGAGAGGAAAAAAAATCATCGTGAAGGTCAGCACAATTGAGCACACTAAACTCTTCGATAAATTGCTCCGAGCGCATTCTTTGCGTGGCGGGGATGTGTAATTTAGTGGTGGGGTTCTGCCCTCCTGTGGTCAGCACAGCAACTCTCAAGGTGCTTCAGAAGCACAAGAGACTTTCCTGTTGGTTTCAGCTGGCCGCTGTTGCAACAATCTGTGAAGCCAAAGAATACGTTGAAGTTGAGAAAAACTGAGAACAATGTGCCTGACAAGAGCAAAGTGGAGATGGTTGGCTGTAATGCTAAATTCCTCCACGGTGATGCGAGAACATAGTAAAGAACATGATTACTATTGTTATTGGAGATGTGGATGGTTTCATACATGGATTAATCTTTCTTTCCTTTTCCACAAGCTTCAACATTTGACTTGATTTTTAAGAAATGCAGCAAAACGTCATTGTTTATCGGATGTTCATCATTTCTCACATGTCTCTTATTTAATTATTTTTAGTTTGGGACAAACCACCACCCACACTCACTCTTGTTACAATTCAGAACACACTAATTAACCTGACATGCATTTTTTTGGACTGTGGGGAAACAAAAGATACCCTAAAAGAAATTTGCATATTTCTAAAGTTCATAAAATTATTTTCAGACTGACAAATCAAAGTATGTCAAAAATAAAGATCAACTGAAAAAAGAAGCATTTGTTATTCTCAAGAGGACCACATTGCCAAAAAAGTAACCAACTTGGTCTATTCTTTATAATTTAATCCAGCACATTCTTTTATGGCCTTGATATATACTCAGGATAATTGGAAACAAAATAATCCTATTTCCAGGTGAAAGGTGATGTGCCCTTCTTTGAAACGTTGACACAATTTCCTGAGGTTTTCCTGAAATGCTAAATACAGGCTTTAGCCAAGTTATCCATAGGTTTACATAGAACCTTTCTTGGTCACCATTGTGCTTTTCTCTCTCCTTTTGGATAACTCAGAAGACCCTGAGGCTGTTTGGAGGGGCAGCGAAAAAGGAGCAACTGAGCACCTCCAGGAGTGGCCACTTTCATCCCTATCCGCTGACTCGAATATCTGAAGTAAAGGCACTAAAAGTTTATGTCAGTTTTCTTCAACTCTTGTTTTGAACTGTCCCAAATTGAAAAATCTGTTGAAAAGTTTTGTTAAGGCTGTGTTAAGTTTTTGAATAGTTGGAAATTTTAGACATCCAAACACAGAAGAAAAAAAAAGATTCCATAATATGTCTCTTTTCAAGCTGGATGTGTCAAGCAAAGTTAGCCTGAGTGGAGATGGAGGGTCACAACAGTCAAGCAGTAAGAGGTTAAAACTGCAAAGGAGTGTAGTGTTACTAATGGAATGGTCTGCAAAAAGCTTTAACATTCCACATATTAAGAAAATGTTGGCTCAAATGAGACAAGATTTTTTTTATATGTGTAACTGGGACTTCAAAATGTCATGATATGAATAATAGATTTTTTCAGTTGAAAGAGAAACTTTGATCATTTTGTTCACAATGCGAGGAGGGTACATGGGTTACTCTTTCAACAGCAGCCAAAATATATCTTAGTGCTTTCAGTAGTTTTTCCCAAAAACTACCCATCAACTAACAAAGTAGTTGTTTATTTCAGTTCATAGCTTCTTTATTCGTGATCATGACTACAGGCCTACAGAAAATGGGGAGACTCAGTGGGCTGTTAATATTTTGCACAGGTCAGCGTTCAGGGTAATTTATTCAGATGATGCGTTCTAATCTGGTCTGCTGATCTCTATCCAATTGGGACTGATGGCAGAGTCAGTCAATGCTGGGCCAGATGGGACTAAAAGTATGCGAGTGCCATATTTGGTGCAACAGTTCAGAGTATTACACTAATCTTATCCTTGCCAAAGCCAAAGTACACACGAAAAGCCTAAATTAGCTGCCCGAGAATGGAAATGTGGGGCAGAACCTATTTGCTTATTCTTAGATCACCGTTTGCTGAATGAGGTAAAAAAAAATTTTTTTAAATCAGCATCAAGCCAACTAAACTTTTAGAGGCTTTCTGTGGAATTTAGGCATGCCATGACTTCTGGGCTTATAAAGTGCATAGATTTGACTATTTCTGGGCATTGAGTGTCAAACAGCAACATTGTGGGCTGCAGTCCAACGTAGCAAACACAAATTCCATGTCGTTCAAGCTCATGTTATGTTTTCAGATCAGCTTGCGTGTGTGCTGCAACACAAAAAACCCAAATAAGTAGATCAGAAACAAAAACACAATTTTATGTGAAAAATAACACATTTATCAGTTTGACAGAACCCAAACACGCCCAAAAGTCTTGAATTAATCAAGAAACGTGGTTTTATGATTCACAGTATTATAGAAGTCACAGTCTTCAGTATAAAGCTTCATTTACCCTGAGATTAGCTTTTCCTCACAAAAACCTGTAAAAGCCACCTTGTTGCGATAAGTCAATGCCTGACTTTAGAAATAACAAATCTAATCCATCATGTTGTAGGGAACCTTGTGTTGCAAAAATAATCCTTTTCCCTTGAGGATATCAAATTGAGGACCAAAGTTTGAAGATAAATGAGTGTGTGTAGTGGACAGGAGGGTTAGTACATGGACCTTTTGGGGGCCTCTACTTTTTGGAGTAAAAAAATATGTTTCCTCTTCAACTTTACCAAACCCAAGGAGCTGGTGGTTGACTTTCAGGAGATCCCAAACACCATGATCGGAAGCTTGCGTTAATAAAGTGCGGAGAGAAGCCGCACAGGCACCGGAATACATTGGAGTGGCACTGGAAAAAGTTGAGTGGTCTTTGAACACAGACAGCCTACAGGAAGGGGAAACCATCCCTTCCTCCTGAGATGACTCAGGTCTTTTAATGTCTGCAGATACACGCTGTCATTGCAACTGGACTGTTCCATGCTTCTGTTTGCCGGGGTAAGTAGAGCCACAAACAAACCCCGCTGGCGCCGGGTCAAATTGACGATCAAAGGCCAGTTCTGCGATCGGCAGGGGGCCGGACCCCTGCAGACGAGGAGGGAGATATATTCTGCAATGGAGAACCACAAAGAACAAAGAAGCAGCTGTAGAAAGAGGCTCATCTCCCTTCACTGTAGGACGGAGAGGTTCAGGAGATCCAGTGTGCTCAACCCCATTTTCACTGTTTTCTCTGGTTGATCTTGTAGAGACACACAATCTTGAGCTACAAGACTATTTGAATTTCACCTGTAAGGGCATGAATAAAATATTTTTCTGTTTCACTCTACTTTGGACATCTGTGTAAATACGGCCTCTTTATTGCTCATTTAGGCTCTCTGTAGACACCACACAAAACAAATGAAGCAGCTCTGCATTGCTGCTTAAAAGAGCAATCAGTCCTGGCTACCCACTAAACACAAGGGACTAAACTTTGGGTCTGAGGGTAGGGAGATGGATAACATATGAGCGACTATAACAGGGCAACTCTCTTACGTCACATAATGCAAGCTTTCCAGATTATCAGTCAGAAAATGTCTCGCGGAAAACAACATGGGGTAAACACTCATATTGCAACACTCCCTGTGGTTGGAGAAAAACCCAAACAGAACACTGTGGGTTGAGGTTTGAGTATGTCTGGGCAAAGGTTGTTCTTTTTCTAACCGAGGATTGCTAAACAGTTATTTCACTTGAGATATACAGGGTTTCAGAACACGACCTCATCCATTAAAATGTTATCTGGCAGGTGTTCGTGCAGTCCTGGGGGACTATTGCTGCAGCAGCACACACGTTCTCGATTTTGCTTTAAATAAAGCTTGTGAACGAGGCAACAATGTGCACCTTCTGACTGATATTGAGATGAATATAAACAGCGACGGAAATTAAAGTTAGCAGTTATGACTTGAATATAAGTGATGCATGCTGAATGTTTTGTTTTTAGCTCAAATTAATTGGGATCGTCCTTTTTAAAGATCTTTCATGTGGAATATTTTTTGTTTTGACTGGTAAAAATGTAGTGATTTGAATGAATTCCCACTATTCTTTCTGCTTAGCTTCTGCACATAAAACAAATCTATGTACTGCATACCAAACCAAATTTTGTTTACTTTTTCATAACTTCAGACTGTCTTTTAAACAAAAAGTTTCGGTGTTGTGCTTTTAGATATTTACCCTCAGTGGTACTGTCTATTTGTCTGTCAAAGGAGGATCTCAGTTTAATGCAGGATGGGATCTTCAACAATCTGATAAGACATAAGATCAGCCCCTACCCGATGATTTGTGTGGCATTTGTTTTGAACAATTAAACCTGTCAAACTAAACATTTAAGCACTTGTGGGACAACTTACATTACCCTCAAAATAATGTTTAAGAGCTTTTTAAAAAACTTTTATCAATAGCTCAATATCAATAAAACGTATTTCCCAATTATTGTGCAGCAAACTATCAGTAACTGGTGAAAGAAGGAGTTTTACAATAGAGCACAGCTTTGCTACATTAGGACTGAAATGATAGTGTGTTGGGAGATTCAAGGGTCAGGTCCCAGAACCAGCTGAATAATTTCTCCAAAGAGCCTGATAACTTGATCTGTTTTCGTTGGGCAGTTTCGGTCCCGTTCGTTATGTCCTTCAGTTACAAGCTCAAAATCAAAGCATAATCAAGCTTATTTGCCTCAAGAGAGGAAACTAAATCAGGGAATTAAAGAGCAAACACAGATGTCTGATTTCACTTTATGAATCTTGACTGTTTCTAGTTTAGAGGGGATGGTCCTGGGACAGATTCTTGCATCTCAACTGTAGAGGGAAAAAAAAGAAATGAAAACAGACTTAAACATACTGCTAATCCAAACCCTTTATTAAACATCTTGTAAGCATTTACTTCCATTCATCACCATCCTGTTGCTCAACACCATCATTGCCATCAGTGCAGACGATTGCCAAGTAAACGCAGAGCTATTTCAAGGAGCTCTGTTGTTTCATTTGATTCCACTGTTGCTCATAGTTTGGGCTTTGCACACTCCCTTGTCAGCTACTTCAAAGGCAGCTCCTTTGTAGGTTGCGACACACTGAGCGTCTGTGTGCAGGTCCGGCTGAACCTGCTCCCACACTTTCTTTTTGGGGTTCAGCTCCTTGTCTGGTTCACCTGTGATCACAAAGTCAGTTCAGTGCGTTAGAAACTCTTCGGCTCAAACAGAGTGTGGGAAGGTGAATTTGTGTCTTTTAAAAAACTAATTCGGACATGTTAGTTACATACTACCAGGCCAGTTTTCAATACACTCACGCAGTCAGTCACAGAAGATGTGAAATGACAAGCTGCACACTTGCTGAATTTTCAGAGTTGACAAAAGCAGTAACTGTGTGTAAAAGCTTGAAGCAAACGGCCAACAATTACATTTCTGATTCATTGTTTCCATTTCTATTTTTATGTCCTCAGGCTGAAATTTGAATGGTTTGACTTTCTGTCATGCACCATTACAGCGCCATCTTTTTAAAAACAGCTGCTCGTACTTAAGCATAATTTGAAACATCAAAACAGAATTTCTCAGAATCAAGGAAAACAATTAGGTGAAGCTCTTGTTTCGCCACAGCTTTCTTTTTGATGTTGTGCAGCATTTGTGAAACTTCATGTCTGGCACTAGCTGGTTTTATCTAGTGTTGACTTTTCCTGGTAAGCACAGCCGTCTCTGGGTATAAAGACAAAAATGTCTACAATTTCCTAAGGCTGCCATTTCTGCTTAACAACTAAAGGTCCGAGGGGGCAGAAGAGCTTTGTGATGAACATCTTGTGTGCATTTGTTCAGCTAAAGAAGAAGCACTGAGCCTTATTAGTCAGGAGGTGTGTGAGTGATCATCATCTCCCAACACCAGCACGAGAATAGTTAAGGAATTGGATTAGTACCAGTTGGCTTTGGAGGGGAAAATGATGGCAGTCAGGAGGATGACAAAATTTATGGTATCCATCCCTTTTAATTCAAAGCCTCATTTTAAAAACATTTAATCTCTTATACAGCCCTTTCTATTGCTTTTATGTTGACTCCCATTTTGGTCATAGATCTAAAAAGACATGCGGCCAGATAGACCACTGATTTCCAGTCATGTAATTCTTTTTTTTCTGGTATTTGTGGGTTAACTTTGTTCAATTCATAACTCCACAGGGGGTTAACCAGCACCACCGTAACTGCCTCGTAAGATACAACAACACATCAACAAGAGGAGTGTTCAAGTGCAACAGCACATGGGATCCAGCCGGAGTTGTATTCTGAATATTAAGGTGAGCATCATGATCTGCTTACAGCTTCGTTTGGTGAGACTCGCTCCATGTCTGCTTGTGTGGTTCTGTTTGTGAGTATTTGGAGAAGAAACAAATGACTGTGTTCTGGGTGTTTGGGGAAGCTGACCCTCACAACCAAAAACACATTTTCTTCAACACATCTCAGAGGCAAAAAGTTATTAGCTCTGAAAAACACAAGAGGATCATTTGTTCCTTATGCTACGATCACTTCCACTTACAAAACGCTTGCAGGGGGTAATGGGCATGTTCTGGCTCCGATCTCACAAAGAAGTACCTGGGAGTGAACTGAGGTGTTCGTAAAAGAAGAAAAATGCTCATGCATGCGAGGAGTTTGTGACTATTAGATAAAATAAGTTATTTTGCCGTAAAGAAAAAAACAAATACAAAACATATGTTTTGTATTTACAAAAGACATGTACTTTATCTTACTTTATATTTTGGTGATGCTTAAGATACTCCTGCATTCTATTATTACAGCAGAAAACATGGAAAGGTATGCCTAAAGTGAAAGATGTACACGCATACACCATGTGAGAAGGCACCTCATATATTAAGTATGATCCATTTTTGCAGATTTTTGGTTTGACTCCTCCCTCTGTTGTTTTTTGTTGTGCTCATGGCTGAAATAAAATAAAAAGAATCACATTCCCTCTGCTTAACTGACGAGTTGAAACTTCATCATGAACATACATATATATGAACCGAGGCAGTTCTAATGGGAAAACCGCAGTTTCTTGCATTTGAAACTGCAGTGTTGTTTCTGGCAGCAAAAAGGTTTAATGCCCCACTTCTCTTCTTAAAAGTTGAGGCATTGAGGACAAAAGAGGGGGAATTAATTCAGTCACAAAGTCACACGAATGAGCTACTTTTTTAACAAGTAAACAATAATGATGAGGTTTGAAAGGTACCTGGGAAGCCTTGGAAAGTGACTCTGTCCCCTGGTGCCGCTCCACTTGGAGGATCGAGGATTTCAACCTTGTCTGGAGAACTCGCACACATGACCATGGCCTGGGACACCACTCCTCTCATCTTAGCGGGCTTGAGGTTACACAGCAATACTGCCAAGCGGTTCTGCATCTATAGGAAGGGAAAAAAGATTGAAGACATTTTAAATATCCTTTATTTCCCTTCAAGCACAGAAGAAAAGACGTTCTATTTATTTCAATTTAAAAACCCCTTCATGTTCCAGCAGACACGAGGCACAGTCAATTAATCAAATGAAACTGCATCCCAGAGTTTCCATGGTTTAATGTTCATTTGCCTCATTACAAAAACGAAAAACAGCAAACAGGAAAACATTTGACGTATGGATGCAGAGGATTCTGTGACTTATCATCATTTATAAAGTGGATGGGAGGCATTTCCAGCAAAAGCCGTGAAGGAAAAACATTCTGCATTCCAGAGTTGATGTATACCAGATCGAACAAAAACAATCACATCCTTCCTGGTATCTTTTGAGAAATTGCTCCAAAAGAGAAACAAAGGGGGAAAAAAACAAAACCAAAATATAAATCACTCAAGGTTTTGGTGGCAGTTTTCATTTTTCATCTGTGGAGAGTTTTGGCAAGCTGAGAGAACATCATTTAGAAAAATGGACAGTTCAGTTTGAGCAAATATTTCATTTGAACTGTGGAAACTTGTCCTAACAGTTATTCTATGATTACCCGGCCCAAGACTTGTTTTTCCGAATGGTCCTTATTATGGGTCCAGGCTCAACGGCACAGACACGCAAACTAATTGTGTAACCCATCATATTTCACTCAATCTCTATTGACAGATAGATAATAAGAGACATCTATATCAGTTTACCAGAAAGTCAACAAGTATTTAGTTGTAGATTTATTGACTCTGTAACAAACTTATATAGACACAAAACGCTGCGGTGCGCTTCATATGCCAGCTCTCTACAGAGTACAATTACAGAAACTTTCTGAGTAAATCCATAACATGTGGCAAAGATATTTGACAGACAATGAGACTGAAACTGACTCGATGAAATGTAACAAAATGGGAACTGGTGTTAACCAGTGGTCACAGGTCATTTCTCTACATTAAGCTTTTCTATGTACCAAATGTATGCGAGCATGGAAAACTATTCCTATTTTTAGGTATGCTGTCTCTGCCTTAAAGTTTAATACTAAATTTGTTTTTTGGCGAGAAGCATAGAGACAAACTCATGAAATGGAACGTGAATCTGCTTCATGTGGCAAGAGAAGCTCACATGAAGTCATTATGGAAGTCCGATTAATTTTGAGTCAGCTTTTCAGTAAACTAGCTGAAATAATTCCCCCCTGCTTTCAGTTTTGTAAAGGTTTACCTGGTCTAGTGGTATGTGCTTGACCAGTCCGCTGACCACAGTTCTGGGAGCAGCTTCTCCCACATCAACCTGCTCCACGTACAGACTGTCAGCATCTGGATGCTTCTCGGCTGTGATTATCCGACCGACGCGCAGGTCCAGACGAGACACGTCCACCTTGGCGTCCTCTTGGCTGGGCGCTGCCTGCTTTTTGTCGGCTTTCTCCCCTCCTGTATTAAAAATCGCATTTTTAATCACATAAGTGAGTGAAACTGATTCTTATGACATCTTTAAGTGACAGACTGATCTGTGAGGTCAGAACAACTCTTGTGTGAAAGATCCTTCTCAATATCAGTCCTGCAGTGTGACCCCTTTAAAAGTCCACAAAACCAGAAACACGTCATGAAGAGTTAGAAATGTGATTATTTGACAAGAGTGGAAATGTTTTCATTCGAAAGAGACCTTTGGCTACTAACTGATCGCTAATCAACCTTAAATCAGTCTGTTCCAGCTTTAATGACCTAAGACTGCATATGTGGGGAAAAAAGAAAGATTAGATTTCCAGAGAGGAATATTTAAGCTTGTTGAAGTTCAGCAGTCAGGGCAACGCAGCGTTTGATTTATATTTGGTGACAAAACAAAGCTTTGCAGTGCTCTCTCTCTCTGGTACAGATTCAGTCCCCAAACAGACCCACCTGAACCATACTGGTCTGGTTTTTCACCATGCAGCACACAATCGCTCTGCTCCGAGCTGCTACTCTGCTGTTCAGTTCCACCACATTGCACAAATTCCGCTGCCAGACATACCGACTGTGCAGCACTGCTTTAAAAACCTCTGATCGCAGACTGGGAACAGACCGTGAAGGTGTGCATTTTTTATCTAAAAACAGTCTGTGTTCTTTAATTTCAGGGCTTATTTCCTTCAACTAAAAGACATTTTGTTATCATAGAGGGAGAACAGAGAAAAAACTACAAATCTATACATGTAGAGAAGTGAAATACATAAATGTCTTTACAGGCACTGAGCTCAGTTTATCTGTAAAAGCATCAGCCGACTTCATGGATGTGTAACAAGACCCAACAACTAACTTGTCTTTGGTCCTGCACCGCGCACCTTTTTTCTCCTGCTTCTTCTTCTTGCCCTCATCTTTTGGAGGGGGGCTCTGGACTGTGGCAGCAGAGGCAGCAGCAGATGGTGCTGGACCTGAAGGTGTGGGAGGGGTGGGCTTGGAGCAAATGGAAACCCCGGCGTCACCTGACGGCATGGCAACCTCCTGCACTGCAGGAAGAAGGAATGACGAATAAGATACTGTTCAAAAGCACCTGCACACACGCCTGGAGTCCCAGGCAGAAGCACGGCAAAACAAAGAACACCGAGTCTGAAAATGCAGAAAGGCACACAACATCCTTATTGTTCCTCTTCACGCACATAGGTGCATGCATCAACATAATACGACAAAATGATACAGGGGGGAAGCTTTATTTACACACGCAGTGGGAGGACTGTTCCCCTGATGCAAACAGTTTGGATGGGAAAATGACAGTGTCCCAGTTGATGGAAAGGAGGAAATGGGACCATAAAGCAGGGAACAATGTCCTACAATAAGCCTGTAGAGAAAAATAACCCCTCATTTGAGGCGCCTGATGTTTGAATTCCCACAAAATCTTGTGCCTGTGTCTGACAAACATAGGTCTGTAGGCACACCACTGTCTCCATAATGCTTTTAATTACCTTAATTCTATGTTGAGACCTCAGAGCAGGACCTTTCCGGTTTACCTTGAAATTGCAGGCAATAACCTCTAAAACTCTAAACATTCCCATTAAGTTTCCTCTTAAGTTTTCTTTTTTTTTTAACACTAACTTCTCGCTTAAAGACAGTATTACGTATTATATAAACATTGAGGGAAACATACAAACCCAGACAAAATGCTTGTATGGCTATAAAAATTAAGAGTGGTTCCAGATGTCCTGGGCAGATTATTTTAAATGTCTGTTGAATGTGAATGTTGTACTTCCTCTTAAATAGATAAGTAAATAAAAAAATTAAAGCAGGTCACTTAAAATCTGGGCCAAAATTTTAAAAGCTACAGGCAAAAAAGAGAGAGAGGTAGCGTCAGCCAGAGTTAATAGGTCAGCCATACAACCCTGTTATATGTTTTAGGAGAAAAAAAAGGATGTTTTACAGGGTTTAAAGTTTTATCTGTATTGTTTGGTCCAGTCATTGTGATGAATTAACCATTGCTGCAAAAAGAAGAGCTTGTCCACTATAGCACTTAAGATATTCACATTTCAAACTGTTCAATGAAACTTTGCTTTTGTACTTAAGTCAATAACTTTGTTTATTTGAATTCTAAATAGCCTAAAAGCCAACCCTTTTTCTCAATAATTTCTATTCCCGTAATCCTCCCTGAAAAACATGGAACTATTAGTGCCATTTGCCCTTAAATGCTGAACTAAGTCCGTGGTACTATAACTGATACACATTGTTGTCCCCATCGTGATGGGAATTGTTGAAGCTCTGGGGATACTTAATATAGAGACAAATAAAGGGCTGCTGATGCTGGCCTGCGGTGAGAACACATTAGATGATACCATTGATAGGACAAACCATACAAACGTTCTAATGAAAAACAAGTGAAATCAAGAACAGCTTTCAAGTAAGGCATACGCAAACACTTTGACGACGAAGATGAAGGTCTGGCTGGGGGAAAAAAACTCAACAAAAAAAACAACATACCCCCTCTCCTTTTTTCTTTCTCCAGCAATTGTTTTTTCAGCTCCTCAATGTCATTCTTTAGTTTGGCATTCTCGATCATCAGCTTCTTCTCCTCTCTGACACTGGCCTGAACCACTGCAAAAAGGCACATTTTTGTCACTAATCAGCACAGAAAAACATGTTTACTCCCAACAGTGCTTCAAGCTCTGGTCCACGGCGGGAGAGTCACGCGAATTTGGAATAAAACGTTCAATAAACAAAGCAGAAAAAGAACAAAAACCTTTAAAAGGGTAAATAATTATCATTGGCGATTGAGGAAATGATAAAAATCCAGGAATTTTTCAATAAATTATCAGATTTTTGACAGTAGAGGGATAAACTCACCTTGTCGGTTCTGTTTAATTGTGATAAATTACACGGACATTTTACACATAAATCTGTGTAAGAGAAAAGTCTAATTCTAATTTCTCTGAATCTGTCTTACTTGTTTTCTCCTTCAGCAGCTGGATTTGCTGTTTGAGGAACTCGATGATCTGGTCAGCCTCAGCAGCTCGCTGCTCCAGCCTCAACAAAGGATTGTGACTTGACATCTTAAGCAGAGAGCGAGCTAAAAACCTATCAGAAAACATCAAATGTTTCATGCGTTAGGTCTGCTGCCGCACTGTTTTGGAATGTTAAAAATGTAGAATTGAAGAGATTGAATTTGTTTTAATCAGAAAACATGCAGTGAGGTCACCCTATTCTTTTTGGTGTAAATAAACGTGAGAAACACCAACAGTGCTCAAACAGATCACCTTTAGGACAGACAAGCTCAACATTTACAAAGATATATTTAAGTTACAAGGTTTGCATTCCAGTACAATGCAACCACAAACTACAGCCTCCAAATGACCACAGAGTTACAGTCAACTAGCCTCGCATAGTCTCAACAAAAACAGAACACTATAATTTCCAAAGCAGTGGTATGTGTTACAGGTTTGTTGTGTGGGACTAAAAGCCCTCGTGCTCATCAGACTGTTTTTGTGGAATAAATCTTCATAGAAAGCCCGATTCCAAGATTGAACATTGTAATAAAAACACAAATAATGTGCAGATACTGTGACTGTGATGTGTCTAAGATCAAAAACATGATTTTATTTTTTTATTTTCTGACTAATACTTTGGCTCATCGTGCAAAACAGACGAACATGAAACAAATAACAGAGTGAAAGGAACACCGGCATACTATGATTATAAAAAAATAATAACATCAATAAATAAGGCGAAATTCACCACAAAAATCACAGTTCCAGATTCAAATGTTTCTGTTACAGTGTAGAGAATCCTGAATTATAGACGTTTTTCCCCGTTGTAAGCGAATAACTCATCCTCAGCTGGACACCAGCTTGAGTTTGATGCTAAAGCTCCGTAATAATGCTGCGCTCCAAAACCAAGTTCTTGAAGAAAAGAGGAAAAGAGGGATTTCAAGGCTGAGTCATAGAGGAAAACATTTTCTTACGCGCAATATAGGGAGGTGCTGGAATAAAAACATCTGGCTGAAGATGAAAACAAAATGTTGAGGAACAAGGAAATTAGAAACACAAAAGGGCTGGAGTTGATAAAATTACGGATCAAAGCATTGTTTGCTGAAAAACTGAAATGATTTAAACAGCACAAGTGTTGGAGTGATAACAAGAACTACCCCCCAAAAAATCCTGATCTTATTTGGGAAACCTCTGAAAACTGAGGCCAATGAATTCTTTGTTACAAAAAGACAGCAACGGTGTACTTCAGATGGAAAAAATCATGTGTTGACTGTTAAAAGTGCCTGGTCTCTCACCAGTCTTCAGCCTGCATAATTCATTAGCCACGCCATATGAAATTGATCATTTCTTGGTTTTATTCTGTGTTTTACAACTGTATAAACTCAGCATGCTACATGTATTGGCTGGAAGAACACTGACTAGAAGGTTTCTAGCCATTTTTTATATTTTGATTTGTTTCAGCACTCAATCAAAGGATATAAATATCAGAGATTTAAAGTGCATAGCCGTTTTCAAACTACACATTTCGTTTGAATTCAATGTACAAATCTAACATATTTAGCAGGGAGCTTTGCTGCTGTCTTGCAAGTGTTTCCTCTTTCGTTTGATTTGCAAAACAGGGATATATGGGAAGGGAAAACCTCCTGTCTGACCAGTGCAGTGTGCCAGCACCACCCAAAGGGCATCACAGGGCCATACAGGTCTAAATGTATGAGATGTTTGGCCCTTGGCAACAGGTGCACCAAATTTCTTCAATACAAAGTATTACAAAAATAAATAAGTATATATGTTTGTTGTTTCCATAAACATGCTGAAGGAAATTAATTTATTGATTTATCTAACAGCTTCTGCTATGGATAAAACAACAAAGTTTATTTATAATTACAAACATCCCCTTTTAGTTTGGCTAAAAGTGGACACATAGTTACGAGGAAACAAACTTCAAGTTAGAGAGATCAACAACACACATCTTTCAGACCTCAGAATGAAGATATTACATTAACTTGGCAATTGGGTTTATGACTGAAGGTTTTGTTCAAATATGTCGTACAACTTTTAATTTAGTTTATCTTTATTTGAAAGAAAACCTGCCATTTATGCATGTTATCAGTTGCTCACATGATTATATTTGACAAAAAATGGGGGTCTCGTGAATAAGCACGGTGAATAAATGCTTTCATTATCTAAGATAATAAACTGAACAGGCAATCATTCAGCGATAACCTCGTGGATATTACACAGTACTCATGTTTACTAATTCGCAATCATGCTATGAAAATATTATCAAAGTATGTAGCAAGCATATTGTGTAGCATTAGTTAACGTTGCATCAGCTTGATCAGAATAGTATAAGGTCACTTTCGAGTCTCAAGCGAGGACAAATCAAAGCACTTCTGATTGTATAGCTAGCACAAGTTGGCTATAAGTTAGCTTTTGCAAAGGTGTCATTGGCAGGAAGGAGTACAAAAATGGTAAGAATAGGGATTGAAATACCACAAAAAATATTATTTGACTTACATGGACAGTGGTACTCCCAACACGTTTCTGGGCGAGCAGAGGGCTGGACAGGTGTTGCTTCTCCAGCCTGTTCTAAAACAGTTAGTTGACAGGCAACTAACAGCTACATTCACCGAGACGACCCCAGGCCCTGGCATGTAAATTCATACAGCATCCGGATGAGAAGTCGTCGCTGGGTTTGCCCGTACCTTCGCCGGATATTTCTTCTAGAGATCCACGGTCGTCACAAAGGCTTGAGGAGTCTCTGGTAATTGCCTGAACATAATTTGTGGATTTCGAAAATTACACGTCCCAAAAATGGGAAAACCAACACAAATAATATACAAATAAAAATAAAAATTACACACATTTCTTTTTTTTGGCTTTTTTTCTGGGCTGGTCTTCGATATGGTGTACGCTACGTCGCACAAAAATGTCGTCACTGGTCACGTTCACTCAATTGTGCCCACAGCAGCGCAGAGACAGGAAGAGAATACATTTTAAAAACACTTCCACAATAACTCCTTTGGGTTTATTATATCGACCTGAACAGCATGTCCTTTCATTAAGCGTGTGAAATCTATTTTCAAGGTAATGCACATTGTGTTATTCTTATCCCGTTGGCCGAGTAGCAGCTGTCTGGAATTTGGCCACAGACACTCAGCTGATTGTCATGCTGCATGACACACTGTCTTTTGCTGTCGAGATGTCTCATTTCGCGTGAATGTGATATTATGACAGTCTACGAAGTCCTTATGATGTTTCTTATCTCGCTTGACTTTAATTTAATTTGATATAAATGAACTAAAAGAGAAAGCTTTGCATTAATCTACTAAACCTTGCTGGGGATCAGTAGTTAATTGCTTTAATAGTTTTTTCATTTTATTTAATCTGTCATTGCAGATTGTCATTGTCTGACCCGGTGATACAATGAAGCCATTAAAAGATGCCCAGCTGGGAGCCTTCACCTTCTTTGCTTCAGCTCTCCCACATGATGTCTGTGGTAGTAATGGCCTCCCTCTAACCCCAAACTCCATCAAAATCTTGGGGCGTTTCCAGATCCTGAAGACCATCTCTCACCCCAGACTCTGTCAATATGTGGACATATCCAGAGGAAAGCATGGTACAACTTGAACTATTATTTTGACCATTTCAATCAAATTAAACACAATGACAACCAAAAATAGGCTACAAATGAAAAGAAATATTACATGAGATGTCAATAAAAATATCTATCTTTAAAGACGTTAAATGAAAATGCAGACAAAGTATATGTTGATTTAACTGCATAATATGTATATTGATAAGCCGTTCCCTCTTATTGGTGATTATTTTTTATTAACACCATATGAATTTGAATTAAAAGCTTTCTCAAAAAAGTTGAGTGATTTTGATCTAATTCAACCAACAATTGCTAATCTTAATTTCTTGTTTTCTTTTTTCTTTGCTGTAGAACGGCTGATTGTTGTTTCTGAACACTATGCAAGCAGTTTAAGTGGTTTCAAACAAGGACACATCATAAGGTAGAATTATCAACTATAACTATTCAGCAATAATCTTCATATACTCAATTGTATGTGTATTGTTGCTATTTCACCGCTTAGTTGATACATCAAAATGCTGTTCTGTTTTACATGGATAGTACAGTATTAGTGCAGAGCAGGGTGAATACTGTATTATTCGATTACACTTTCTATCTACAAGCTGAGGTTAAGTGTGTTACTAGATTGTTTCCATAAAAGTTTGGCTTTGGAGATGGAAATAAGTTCATCTGCTGTTCTGTGTGACGCTCTCACCAGTTCAAACGCTAAAAGCTTTGTTTTTGTGTTAGCCCTGAAAAACTGCTGCAAATAGCCTACGGAGTCCTTGAAGGTCTGGAGTTTATGAACAAAAATGGCTTGGTGCACAGAGCCCTCAGCGCTCACAATGTGCTCATGGACTACAAGGTACACTTTTCTTTTTTACATTTAGCTGTTTAAGCATATTTTGAATTGCTGCTACTATGTTGAAATCAAGTATGAAGACGTCTGTAAAGACATGGTGTCGTTCAGAAATATTTTCCTTTTTTTCCCTTTTGAATTCAATACCAGAATCATGTTTTAAGCTACAAATGGAATAAAATTAGTCATTTTAAAAAGAAGTTTAATCAGCAGCAAATTTATATTAAGAATGTGGCTTGAATTTATTTACATGTGTTCAATATCATAATTAGAAGACTCAGACAATCTGGAGGAATAAGTGGGATAAAGGCACAAGGCTTAAAAGTCAAGATCAGTCAATTGCTCAATTTCTAGTACCCTGCAAATTTGAATGGATTACTGAATGGCATATTTTTCAGGCCAAAGTGGCTTCCAACTAAATTAGAGGGTTTTCAAGTTGCTTGTCACTGTAGACAGTTAATTTGTGGACTGATTTATTTTCAGGATATGTTCTCTTTAAATCTAGGGGTGATACAGCATATTGATATCCATACCCTTGTACCTCAGGTTTTATCATTGTGTCACAACATCCATTTTTGTTGGTAAAGTAAAAATAGAGACTTCTCTAACTCCAAGTCTGTAACTTGTATTTTTGGTTTTGTAGGGGAATGTGAAGCTGGCAAAGTTTGGCCTTTATCACATGACAGATCATGGAGCAGATGTTGACTTTCCCATTGGGTATGTTTTTTTTCCCTTATTAATCACAGTTCACTTACACATACTTTTAGTCCCCTCCTTCATTCAAAACACACATAAGCGCACAGCTAACTGATAATGTTGCATAACTTGGATGATTGTAGTAAATGATTGCATCCCATTGTTCTGAGATTGAGTTTTGGAGGCATTGAATAGCTTCCTGGTTTCGGGCTGTATCGAATCATAGCACTTTTATCCTTTTCCAAATGCTATTATGTTCTGTCAAGAATGCCTTGGTAATATCCTTCACAGACTGAAAGAAGGAATGACAGTTCATACTTGTAACATTTAATAACGCATCTGGTAAGGAAATGCAGTCGAACAGCTCTGCAGACCTTATGAAGAAATGGCTGTTCGGACATGATTTACTGGCAGTATAAGCACTTTGCAAATATTAGTCATGTCAATTGAAGAATATTGTACTGTGATTATGGCATGTTAGATATACGTGGTAGGGACAAAAACGTGGTAGAATTTGAGCAAATCTTACAAATTGATGAAACACTGTTATGCAGAAATATGTTAAATCATCTCAGCTTATTTCACAGGGAAATTCAAAATAGCAGAAAGAGGCGTTAGTTACAGGCTGACAAAGTGATGTGCTTATCTGCTTTGTCATTTTGACCCCAGCTACCCATCATACCTCTCTCCAGAGGTGATCGCCCAGGGCTCCTTCCACCCCAGTGATCCATCACATGATGAAGCTCCTCTGCCCTCAGGACCCAAGACGGATGTCTGGTCTCTTGGAGTTTTGCTCTTTGAATTGTGTGCTGTAAGAATTCATAATAAATACAATAGAACCAACATTCCTCCAATAATGATTTGATTTTGTATTTTTCAAAGGGATTGGAATTTCAGCTAGATTAGATGCTGTTTGTTAGATTTTGTCCTTACAAACTAATGCTGTTAATCAATCAATCGTAGGGCAGAAGACTTTGGCAGAAATTTGACATAAGTGAAAAGCTGAAATTCATTTTAACACTGGGTGAGTAAAAAAGATGCAAGTTTTTAAGTGCTAAAGGATTGTCATGTAAAGTATATCTGGGTTCAGGCTGTGATTTGTTGTTGTTAGGTTGCATGGATGACATTGTCACAGTGCTTGCAGAAGAACATGGATGCTTGGAAACCATTAAGGTAAACCTACAAACACTAAATACATAGCCTTAGTCAATAAGTAATGATTGTCACCTGCCTCTTCTGATTCATTAGCTTTTATTTACTTATGAAGGTGACAATTTAGTGACTGTTTTACCCTCATTCCTTACGAATGTTCTCTTATGCCTTGAATTTGGATTAATGCCTTTCATAGTAGCAAAACAAAACACTCATATGGTCGTGAAATTACCAGAGGTCTGCTTTATTGTTATATGAACAAGATTTGGCAACAGAGAGCCACATAAAGTAGTAGTAAATATATGACATAGGTGAACATTTCAAGCGATGAAATTATATAGATCTTGATCTTTTGGGTGTTATTTGATTTTTAGTGATTGCACTTGTAAAAACTCTTAATATTTGACAGAAAAATTCCTGAACCATGTTTATCAAACAGTTGCTAATATAGTGTACATTGTATTAACAGGACCTACCTAATAATGTTCTTGAGCTACTGAGGAAATGCTTGACTTTTCTTCCGTCTAAAAGGTAAGTAAAGCTTCTGTAGCTCCTCCTATTTTCTTCCTTTTTCACTACAATTTTGGCGACATGGGGTTGTGAAAAAGTCATGCAGATTGCACATTAGATTTAATTTCAGCATGCTAAGAGGCAAGGGTGAAATGAGTGGAGAAAAAATTGGTAAAAACTATTGGCAGTTATTGTGATGAACAGCTTCTTTTAGCTGACCGTCCACTCCGAGGCTGCTCGGTGATTTTGGTTCTTGCTGATGTGACCCTCTTGTCTATGTCCTTTACGCCTGCACTAGACCAACCCCTGCAGAGCTACTTGGAGACCCATTGTTTAATGGCATTTCCTTCCAACGCACACCTTTCCAGCAGCCTGTCAGCCTGTTTTCATCTTCCTTGCGGTGCGCACATCTGGAACTCCCAGATGACATCAGTGACCTTTGCAAAGGTCTCTACCTAGTACACACAATTAAGCATGGAAACTTTCACTGACACGCACTTATCTGCAAAGAAAAACTACCTGTCACACGTTTTTCTTTGATTAAAAATATATCTTCAAGTTGAATTGTCTTTAGATAGTTCTGATAAATCATTACTTCATGGGTATTCACATTGATATAAAACTGTAATTACAATGAAAATATTTAGAAGAAATTCCCTGAAAGAGGAGGGGTTGAATTGTTTTACTGCTGATGGTACATTTATGTTCTTTTCAGTGTCAGATTATACATTAAAAGAATATTGTTTTTTGTTTTTTTTGCAGCTTGCCGCTAAATGATGTTTACTCGTTGTAGATATTTATATGTTGCAGGCTAAATGGTTTTCTAATGGTTTGCCATCAGATGATGATGAAGACTACTTGTCGGAGCGGGGGATAGATGAAGTGTACCATCTGTGGTGTTTAGCTGGGGGGGACCTTGAAAAGGAGCTAACCAACAAGGGAATCATCCAGTCCAAACCTCCAATCTGCACTCTTCCCAAGTACACACACACATACACTAACACAAAGGAATACTGTCTGTTGTATTTGTACTTTTTTATTTTGTAAAAATCACATGCCGTGTTTATGATTTAATTTTAGCTTTGTCTTGGAAGACGGGGAGTCATTTGGCCAAGGCAGGGATCGAAGTTTCTTACTTGATGATACAACAGTGACTCTTTCTCTGTGCCAGCTCAGAAATGTAAGACAATTTGTGAATCATACTGTGCACAGGTGGAGGCTGCTTAAGGGAATGGGGACAAAAAACAAACAAACATTTGCATCATGTTATGACTAAACTGCACCCCATTTTTAATTTTTTGTTATCAGTGTCACTGTTGGTGTAAAATCTAAAAACATTTACTCTAGCCCAGACACTGAAACTTGAAAATAATTGGCCTTATGTTTTTTTTCAGAGGCTGAAGGATGTAGCTGGAGAGGCGTATTACCCTCTCCTGGAAGACGAGTAAGCCATCTCCAACGTCAACTTGACGCTGTCGTCCATTCCTCCATGTCACTATTTTTCAATTCCCGCTGTCATTTATTTTGGCAAGACCAATATCACATTCCAGTTTCCTCTCCCTAATTCAGACAGTCGAGTCTGCCGCAGTCCAACAGCAGCAATGAGCTGTCAGCCACCGTCACGCTGCCACTCATCATCCGTGAGAGAGACACGGAATACCAGCTCATCCGCATCATCCTCTTTGACAGGCTGCTCAAGGTCAGAGCTGCATACAGATTCATGTGGGTCTGCCGTTTGAGTCTCACACCCTCAGAACACACATGCAGGATGATACCCCCAGGCATGAATATCCAATTGGAAAAGCAGCCCACAAGTGTCAGAGCTCAATGATCCTTTTAACTGAAGTTCGCATATCGTATTTAATAGACTGTAATAATATGACAACAGTGAGGTTGTTTGGTGTCTTTTTTTTTGTCTTCAGTCTTATCCTTACAAGAAAAACCTAGTGTGGAAAGAGGCCAGAGTGGATATTCCCCCTCTTGTTCGTGGACTAACCTGGGCTGCACTTCTGGGCATTGAGGTAAAATGTAGAAAAAGAGACTTGTCTTGGAAAAAAAATGTGTGGCTTTAACTGTATTCATAGACATTCGAACCCCTCTCTTTATGACAAGGGTGATATCCAAGCAAAGTATGAAAGCATAGACAAGGACACTCCCATTCCAACTGACAGACAGGTACACGGCTTTTAAAAAATAATTTGTGACATATTGCATCATTTATAGGCTTTAGTTAAATTTTGGCACAATTGTGTTGTCGTGGGTGTTTCTGTGCACAGATTGAGGTGGACATTCCACGCTGCCACCAGTATGACGAGCTGCTGTCATCGCCTCAGGGCCACATTAAGTTCAGACGTGTCCTGAAAGCCTGGGTAGTGTCTCATCCCGACCTGGTCTACTGGCAAGGTCAGTCAGTTTCTGTCAACTCCGTTCACTGACTCTAATTTATGTCCACCTGAGGTTTCTGCCGTTTTTAGTTATGTGTTTGATCTTTTTAGTTTTCATTATTGTACCATAGGTAACAGGACACTAGATGGTGGTCATGTCACATTTTGGAAACTGGCTTCTGCACATTATTGTGACCATGCATTAAATGACATTGATGTAGTTTGGTTTTTATTTCAGGTTTGGATTCACTTTGTGCCCCATTCCTGTATTTGAACTTCAATAATGAAGGCAAGGATTTGCATTTGAACTTTTCATATAGCTAATCACTGTCACAAAGGAGTGTTTTTACCCCTGCCTGCCTTCCTCTTATCCTAATGCCGTACTCTTCACAGCATTGGCGTACGCCTGCATGTCAGCCTTCATTCCCAAGTACTTGTACAACTTTTTCTTAAAAGACAACTCTCACGTCATCCAAGGTAAGCTAAACCAGGAGAATGTATTTTCTACTTGTAAAATACCTGAATAGAAAAGAGTTTTAACATGAAAACCATCGATTTAGTGGCAGTTTATTTTTCCCAATATTCCATATTTCCACTTCTTGGATATTCACATAACCAGCTGCCACTGCAAGTCGTGTAATATATGTTAAACATGGGCAGAGACGTCGGTTAAATAAGAAAAAAAAAAACAATCAATGGGCAAAGGAGACCATCAGGCTGTCAGCTCAACGTTGATTACATTTTTGCACTGTGATGCATCTAAGCAGCGCATTCTAATTTCCATCATCTTAATGGAGTTTGCAGCTGAGCCACATCATTTGGAGATAGGAAAACAAATGAAACTGCAAATGCCTGCATAGAAATGCCCAAACCATTTCTTATGTGACTGATAAACAACTGCACCACACACCTCTCCAACTCCGTGGGGAACGTGCCTATTATCATCTTTCCATGGCTAGATGCCCTGGAGTGGCAGCTAATGTTTGGTCACAGCTCCTTTGATGATCTCAAGTGTGAAAAATGGAAGTTCATTCAGCATAAACAGACGTTGGTTTCAGAAGTTTTACAGTTCACCAGCAATGTGAGATTCAGGCTTTCTGAAAAGAAAAGCAAAAAGCACTGGGATATATTTTGTGTGCCAAAACCCAAAAAAGAGTTGGAAGCCAACCTAATTCTTTCTTTTAGACGTCAGGTCTACGCAATATATTCTGTCTTACCTGTTGCTTTTTGTGTTTTTTTGTCAGAGTACTTGACTGTCTTCTCCCAAGTGATTGCCTTCCACGATCCAGAGCTCAGCAACCATCTAAATGAGATTGGCTTTATCCCTGACGTAAGTCAGTAATACTAAAAGTAACTAAAATGATAAAAGGCTGCAGAGCTGGATGCCCTTGGATTGGAACAACTGTCATATACTGCAAGTTTATCTTTTATGTGAATTCAGAGAGAAAGCTCTTAGTTTCTCCTTCCAAGGACAAAGAATTGAACATTGCAGTATATATCTTTCTATTGTCACTGACACTTTTTGTTCCACATCCTTCCCAGAATTTGTGGTCACGGTCGAGGTTCTCCCCATAGTCCACGGATGATAATTTATATGGCGACTAATGTCTGCCAGGCACACTTAATGAACTGCTGGGCTTCGTCATTTTTCTCTGACTTTGTGCCACTTCCTCCTGCCCTTCGTTTTCCTTGTTACAGCCGTGCTCAGTGACAAGGTTAAAGTCTTCTCTTCCTCTCAAGGGTTTCAGCTGGTGTGCTGATGAATGTGTGTCATTGGTGGAATGGCCTCTGAGAAATCACCCAATGAATTCTGGGTTCTTTGTCACAAAGAAGTTGAGACTCCTCAACAGCTTGATGTGAATTCACACAATTGAAGCACCAAAATGGAAGCAAGACAAAGGGCAGAAATACATTTTGTATGCCTCTATTATGACTTCTTATCTTTAACAACTGTGATTCTTTTGGCTTCTTTCTTCGACCGGATGTTCCTAATTCACCCGGATGACTAGACACTCACTGCATGTAGATTGCTACCAACTTTGATTTGCCTTTCAAAGGAGTCTGCATGCCTGTTTTCATTGTTAGGTCAGAATAATACAATCACAGTCTTTGTTGATAGAGCTTTCATGCTTGTCAGCCCAATAATTAGACATTAAGACAATATATCCTCTATCCTTTATGTACTTCAAAGAATAGAGTGAACTCTTGTTCCACCAAGGCAATAAATCCATCAGCTCCAAAAGACTGAATGCCATTTCGAATAGATACAACAACAAAAAACATCCAGCCCTTTGTGTAAGCATACAGAAACCGCTGGTGATTTATGGAAACATTTCAGTGTTTAAAGTGTCGTCTCCGGTAATGGGATAAGCAGAGAGTCAGATTGCATGTAACCAGTGGTTTAATTCAGGTCCGCTTTCAATTTGGCTTTGGCTTCTCTCCTGGGTCTGCCATTTGCACTTTCTCTAATGCAATCTGGCTGCACTCGCAGTCGTGCTGCTCAGCTTTTGCGACTGAGGATAAGACCAGGAGTGCAATGACAGTCTCGCTCCAGCTAATCACTTTTCACATAAGAGGTCCACTCAGCGGCCAGCAGCTCCCTAACAATTAGCTGTCAATTAACTGGCTGAGATAAGCTGCAGCGTTTCTGCTCCAAACCTCCGGCTGCAGAATATCACACAACCAGCTTTACCGGGACCTTTTGTCAAGCGGTGGAATGAGTGTGTTTTCTTTTTAGAAACAAAAGATTCAAAATGGAGGGGGATGACAGAATTGGTGTAATGACATTCATTGTTTGCTTTCCCTCCTTTGACCACAGCTCAAGCTAGGCAAACTGCTCTGTGTTGTTGTTCCCGTTCTCAGCAGCTCAGCCATGTGTGCTTGTCCCACACAGAAAATTCCATTCCAGTTTTGAAAATAATTGATTATCGATTTTATTTTAGGAAAGTAATCTAGTCTGACTTATTGAAAAATCCACACAAAATAATGTCACAGAATATGCAGCCTAATTCTCTCCCCTTTCTCTTTTTACTTTTCCTCACAGCTTTATGCTATTCCCTGGTTCCTCACTATGTTTACACGTAAGTAGCTTTGTCTTTCCTCTTTCTTTAGACCCTCACTTGAACTTTCAACCGATGACACAGGAATAGTTGAGACAACTATGCAACTATGCTTTTTTTTTATAACCCTTTGAAATCTGTACTTTGACCAGTTCATGGAGTTCATGTATTTTGATGCACAAACCTAGGCATATTTACTTGCTTTAAGATTTGATCTGATGCAATGGAATACAACATTTCTGTAAAAGGTTGAGTAAAAAGTTATTTACAAGATTCCTATTGTTATATTTACAGGATAAAAATGGAATACAGTGTGCCAAGATCACCAAGTTTTATATATTTGATATTTCAAGCTTAATCTTAGGTGTACAACTTTTGCATTGTAAAATAACTTCTGTCATATGGACTGTCCTAATATGAATTTAGTTATTATTTACATTTACCCCAAACTCTTTTACATTTAGTTTTGGCCTTTTTTTTACCAAACACAGATACAATTAAATTTCAAAACTGCCAGAAAGAGTGGAAGATGATGTTCTTAGGTACCAGTAATTATGAAAGTTGTTTGCACAAACCTTTGGAATTGAGATGTTAGCCCCTTACATTTCAAAAGTTGTTTCAGCAGATATTAATGCAGAAAAAAAGTGTATTTAACAATACATGATGTTATACTTTGTCTTGACTGAACAATATTTTTCCAAAATGCTGAAATGTGTGGTGAAAACTCCTTCCCAACCGGGACTAGGGAAAAATACTTCCACGGTGATGTAACAGACTGTAGCTTCATGGCTAAATTGGACCCAAAAGTAGAGCACAGATTTATGCAAAGTAGATGTTGGGTTACTACAAAGCCTGGTCTAAGTTCTGTAAAGGCTGGTATACCTCTTTCAAGCTGGCAGACGGTCAGCAGGTGCCTGGCAGGCAGTCAGATGTACAGACAGGCTGCAGACTGAGTGATGACAGGCAGGACCGACTGGTCAACTCCCAGGGAGCACTTGGTGAATTAGACAAGGTGTACCCAGAAAGACGCAAGGTTAGAACTTCAGTACTTGAACCTGAATTGTCGATAGCCATCACAAGATTTTTTAGATCGTCTACTTTTGTGTGTGTGTGCCTCCATAGTTAGTCAGTCAGTTGATGTCACCATCGAGATATGTTTGATCCAAGTCAGCTGCATGACATATGACTACTTGAATCCCCTTTTTCCTTCTCTGTTTAACTATAGACCGGTTGGGCTACATTAACAGAACTGTGTATCAGTCTTCAGACTCCAACAGCTGTTACATTGATTGGCGCCACATTGATTTGGAAATTCTCAGTGCAGTGATCTATCTGAACCCCACACTTGGCAGAGTTGGAATATTTAATACCTCAATTAATCACACATGTGCACTCACAAGGCTCCTTAAGAGATGGAGAGTGTGGGTTCTCATAATTTTAACCCTTTACCTTCCAGTGGAGGTGCATGGGTTTAGTATTCTGATGTGCCCCTCTGACAGCCAATACCCCCAATTCAATATGATACAAGGTTGGAAGGTCATCTTCCATTCACATATACACTCACTGCTTCTCACTCCCATGCAGCAGTCTACTCAGCTGACTGTTAATGTGTTTTGAGATCCTCTGAGACATTCTCTCAGCTCTTTAACCACTGTGCCATTCTGAGCATGCACACACCTACTACTTAGTTTAACAGAGCTCAGAATGATCTAACCAGATGGATAGCACTGGTTATCATGCATGTATGCATGTCAATGGAGGGGAAATCTTAGATTAGATCGTTCCAAAAGTGCAATGTTTGAATTAATAGCTGCACTGGGACATCAGGATGTAGTTTTTTTTTGGAGCTCCTAAGTATACTTATGTTCTTCCTGTCATTTTTCCACAACACCACCTCCCTAAAGCGATTTTCCCAGCTGCTTCCTCTCCATCAATTACCTTCCAGGAAACTATGATAATGTTCAGTTTTGCACATTTTAAGCCATAGAGACATGTTGAACAAATGCAGTGTAGAAAAGCAAAACATCCTCTTTGTGTACAAACTGATCCTCCATTTCTTGTTGTGTTCATGTTGCATGCAAATGTCTCTCTTGCGGTATTCCATTGTGAACCTTTAGAAATCATATGTTGTTTTTTTGCTGTACCCACCATCCAGATGTTTTTCCGCTGCACAAGATCTTCCACCTTTGGGACACACTGCTGCTGGGTAACTCCTCGTTCCCCTTTTGTATTGGCGTTGCTATATTGCAGCAGCTCAGGGATCGCCTCTTGGCCAATGGATTCAATGAATGCATCCTCCTGTTCTCTGATCTGCCAGGTAAGTACAGTTTATGTTCTTTTTTCTTCTCTTTGAAGTACAATCAATACCCCAGTGTAAAAAATGGGTTGATGATTAAAAAAACGATCTATAAAGTCAGCCCTCTAAGCTTATTCTTTAAGTAAAATACATAAAACAGAATTATTGGCAGCTTCCAGTTATTCATTACATTGATTTAGTTCCTCTATGAGACTATATGCTTGTGTTTCTACACTCATACAATCCTAACTAATCAAAATGTCAAATTGTCTAAAGAGATTTTGAAGAGCGTTTGCAACTGCAAATGCTACACCGCAACCAAATAATTCAACAGTTGTAACAAAATGTTTCGAACAAACTGTAGGCTCACCAAATGGTTCCTGGTTTTGTTGGGTGCATCCCAGTTTGTGTACAAGGCTTGTCTTGTGGGCTGGGATTTACCTTGAACTAAAGCCACAGTGGTGTGGATATGCTCATGTAATCTATGCAAAGAGAATAGCTTGGGGAAGGTGGTGTGTGGGGGCTGACTGTTCAAACAATCTTGATGGAGTAGCTTGCTTACTGACTTGCAATCTTTGTTTACTTTTTAAAATATCTGCTCCAAGTCTATTGACGGTGAACAGCTTTTGATGATCTGCTTTTGTTTCCTGAATATGGCTCGAAGAAAAAACTCCTTTTAAAGCTATCCCTCAGAGGGGATTGAGTGAGGGAGCAAAATTTGAGGAAAAAATGTTTTTTCTTTAATTTAATTACTTAATATAAAAAAAGTTTTTCACGGTCTTTCTTTACTGTGACTCCACAACCTAGTTTATTTTAGTCAGATGTACATTTATATGGAAAAACATTTCTTAAGTGTTTCTAAAGTGTATGGATACTATGGGCTTTATGTAGTCACTGTAGTGGTGCCTTTCACTTCACAAAACGATATGTTCCACTAAATATCACCTTGCTAACTGTCCCCAATTGGTATTCATAGTGTATTTGTAGTATAAAGTTACTGCCTGAGGAAACGCTCAAAGACTTTTATTTGAAACTGTTGCTGCTAAGTTCCTTTACTTTCCTCAAAGGCATAAATGACATTGGGATTCTTAAGACATTGGGATAGACAGGCACAATTTATCCAAAAGGATGGCGAAATGCTGTGAAATGAACTTCACCTCCCACTTGATGTTAGTGTTGCCATACTCTACTGTGTTTAAGTGTCCAACTCCAACAGATTGATGTGATTGAGTCAAGAGGCACACAGAGTTCTAGTTTTCCATATAAAGGTAAAATATGTTGCCTGGAGCTGCCGTCAGTTTCTTTGGCAGGAGCAGCTGCTTCTACCAGCATGTTTCTGTATATCACTGCCAGCCTCATATTCACAGCTTGTGTATACCTGGGTGGTGACAATGTAGCATTTGGCACTCTTCTTAAACTATATTAGGAATAAATTCTGTCCAGTGGACTGACCTCAAATAGGACATGTTTACTTAAGCTTCCTGCCATGCTTTGGTTCACACTCAGGGTAATCTTATACAACCTGTTACAGACATAGCCTGTTAAATGTAGCGCCAACCAGTCCCCCGCAATATTTACCACCTCAAGGAGAAAAAGGTCTCTTAGCTTACCAGCCTTTTATAGTTACACATGCAATGCAGATGTGGAGATACCAGTCTGTTGGTGAATGCAGGCTAATCACATCCAACAGTTGATGGTTTGACATTACCTGTGAAGATATTTAGACATTTAAGCTGCCTTTCTGGAGTAAAATACCCATATACGAGTCACAAAGTCACAAAATGTCACAAAGGTGATTTTCCCATGCATTCTTGTATATTGTTTATATTATTCTAAATTGCACTCCATTTTACATTGTAACAACACGCCTTATTGAGGAATGATTAAACTTGGCAACGAGGACCCTAAATTAGTTGCCAAAAGGTTTACAGATAAAATAACCTCTTTGAGAAGCCAGGTGATTTTGCCTTCTGTAAATTGATTCCTGCTGGCCAGAAAAAGGAATTCAAGTTGAAGGCATCACTGCCTTGGCTTTAGTTTTCAGAGCTGAAAGCTATGTGTTTTAGGTCCAGTCTTTTGTGAATGCAGTGTAATGCTGCAGGTGGTTTGTAACTTAACATGTAAATTGAAGCCTTCCTTTTGTCAATATGTAGTCCATATTTATAGAGTAATGCTAAAAAGGGATTTTAATGTATTAAAAGGGGGAACTATCACATTAAATTTCAATATTGCAAAATGGAGATTTGAATATTTAATACTGTATATGCTTGAGGCTATTGAGGTGACATTTCAGACACACACACATTCCTATGTACACACACACACTACATAATTGGTGTGTTAGCAAATAAGTCACTGCTAGATAGTTTTGTATTTTCAATTACACCTAGCCTTATCAAAAGATCCTTGACAAGCCTCTGTAATATAGAGTTGGTTAACAGTATGATGAACTACTGTAGTGGATCACTCTAATGCTCTATTTATGATTTTTGTTTTTTGTATGTAGATGTTGCATGGCTGTCCATTAGTTGTACAAATAAAATCATCATGATATACTAGTGTCAACATTGCCTTTCCATTTTCCCGACCATTTAAAACAGTAAAGTATTCAGATTGACAGCAACTTTTATATCTTTCATTGAAGTCATTACATCTGTAGAGCAAACATTCTTCGGATATTATTGCATGAATACATTCTGAAAGTTTTTAATTGCGCTTTTTTCCTCAGCACTTCATGTTTGGAAACACAGGCACATGCACCCAGTGAGTTATGTTAGGCATTCTGTGATTTGTGGTCTGCACCTGCTCCTTTCTGCCGTCAGGCACAGAGAATTGATGTTCTCATACAACCGAAACACGCATTCATAAGTTTCAGAGCAGGCTGCACACTAATGACATGTCTGTATCTACAGGACCTGCAAATATGGAATAAAAAAAAACACATCCTTCTGCTGGCTGGATATTATGAAATAAGTCAAATAGATTGAATAAAATTCTGTATATTGCACATATGGAAGGAGAAGTCATTAAAAAATCCTAATATACTGACACAGTGTTTCATTCCATATTTGTCATTCAAAAAACATAGAAATAATAATATTATTAGGAATTACTAATGCATGGAATTGGAATGTGCATATTGTAATCCTTACAGATTTCTTTGAGCAGCATGCTTTAAATCGCACACAGCCTCTCTCTTTCTTTTTGTGGTGGTCCTCACAAATAACACTAAATAGGGTCTTGTTCTGGGCGCAACAATGGATGTAATTTTCTTTTTGAACACGAACAGTCCTAGCGTTTTCCTCCACTGCTGCCTAACCTACTTCCTTTCCCAGAAAGATCAGATTATCTAAAATATTATCACATAAACTGCAGGTCTGCTTTCAACCACATTTTGGGGGATTTCTGAGGGATTTCAAAGGTTGCACATATTATCCTTAATACCTCCTTAATGCTTTACATAAAGTAGCAAAGCACTTAAAAATATTACCCACAAATCTTCTGATATGTTTCTCTAGCTGATGTGACAAAATACAAATAACAAACATGACCAGCGTCTACACAAAGATCAAAGATTTTGGGGAGATTTATTGCAAACATTATGGAGTCACAGTGAAGTGCCTTATTTTCAAGGATTACAAGAAAATGAGAAAAATCTTCAAAAATGAACATTGAAGCGGCCTCTCTGGGCTTTATATTGTCATAGACATTATAGAATCAAAATAACTGTTGAAGAAGTTTTCTAAGCTACTCATATAATGTACTATGAAATACATGTTTAATATGTTATTCAGTTTTTTAATTGATATAAAAATAAATTAACTGCAATACTGGGTGACTATAACAAGCTATAGCAAAACTAAGAAATACAATCCTTTGAGCTGTAAGGTTTTATTGATCTTGGTGTAAAAGCTGCTTATGCTCCATCAGTCAATATAGGCAGTTGTTAGTAGACGCCTAAAACAAACTATCTCTACTAAAAAGACACTGTTTGGTCACTCACAGCTTCTCTAATATTTAAATTAGTTTGTTTAACTGTCAAATAGAAGTAAAATTAATTATTTCAGGATTTACAAGAAGCCACACACTGCCTTTAATGTGTTTTATTCACAAAAGAGGATCAATAAGACAGTGACTTGAAATAAGATCAAAAACTGTTAGATCCAGAGTTTTCAGCAGTGAGTGTGAAAAATGTTTAAAAAGTCTTTCCCTTTCTATTCCTGCACCTGTCAAATTGAAGTTAACGGACAAGAGAATATTGGAGGACAGTGACTACTTAATGATTTAGACACTCCTTTTGGTCCCGGGTTCTGGGAAGTAATTGGGGTCAGTGACAGTAATTCTCAGTGACAAGGCTCTTCCACATGGTTCTAGGAAGTCTACAATTGCCAATATTGCAGCAAAGAGTAGACGACCAAATTAACAAGAGGAGAGTGTTGAAGACATTTAGTTCGCTGAATTATCGATGCAGTAATATATTTTTACCAATAATCATGCATCAAAGTCAGCTTGATTCTCCGAACTGTAAAAAACAAACAAACAAAAAAAACACCAGTATGTGAAATGTATTGTTGGCATTTTAATTAGATTCTGTTTTTTTATTTGCTCATGTCCCTAGCCCTAGGTAATGTATACAATTATCTTCTGTCTGGAGACTTTATCGATTCTCAGTGGACCAGAGATGCTCTTTGGCTGACAGGGACCATGTGTTTACTGATGATGCAGCAGCATTCACCTTCACGGGACATTAGCATCCACTTAAACAAGATGAGATGGGCACAAAGCTGATGAGCTGTAGTTATAGATCTTTAACTCTGAGAAAGTCATACACTCTGAGTCATGTTTTGCTGAAACTGCCTATTACAATATTTAGCAAACAGAGCATTCGCAGACGTAGTCATAAAAAAAAAATGGTGGAATGGATTTGGCATGCTACCATGCCTTGATCCTAAGTTAAGATTAGACCTAAAGGGTGGCAGTAGTGTCCAAGGGGAAAAAACAACAGGATGCATTGGATTGTGTCACAAGCAGCAAACATAAACAAGTCCTGGGTCCACTGTTATGACTAATTTATATTGATCAGAGACTTGAGACTTTAATATCTCAGATGTACTTCAGTGCAGTAGAATAGAACAAAGAAAAATAGCTGTGATGCAGAAGAAGGGCTTAGAGGGCTTTAAGAACAACAGCCCTCATTACTGTAATTTTGAAATGGGCAAGAACAACCAAAAGGACCGCCCATGAGACGGATAACTTCTTAACCTCTGCCTTTCTTATTGTGTTATTCCTTGTAGACAGATAAGAATAAAACAGAAAGTATCAAGAATTTCCTTTTTCTATTTGAATTCCCAGTAATGCTGAATCACCTCTCTATAGTCTATTGCTGTTTAGTTTTCTCAGGGCTATGTCAAAATGTTTTGTGGAAGAATATCACAGATCCAAAGTTGACTGGTTGCCTTGTTGAATTGTCTGAGATCATAGAACAACCGGCAGGACATGGTCTGAGGTGGGCAGAGAGACTCAGATAATGGACAGCTCTCCATAGCAGCACCAACAGTGATTTTCTTTTCTTTCTTTCTTTTTTTACAATTAGGAAAAATAATTGAAGGCATCATGTTTGTTTTTCCACTGGTCGGGATGGATAATTGCATGCATAGTTAGAATCATTCACACACTGTGCTTTGTTACATTGAGCAAGCAGCCAACCGTGTGTACTTGGGCTCTCAATAAATAAATAATCATCCACCATTGGCCTGCACTAAGTACCAATGGCTGTTCAAATTAAATTCAAGTCACTAAACATTGTCTACAGGGTGACATTTTGATAGGTACCGAACCATTAATACTAAATCATACATGACTCTGCTAATGATGGACCACTGCATTCCTCTGGAAGCATTGTCTTTGGCTGCTGTTGTTGCTCTTTCTCTGGCTTCTTAAAAGGTTCTTTCTGCATTGAATCTTGAATTTATTGTCATAGCTAAAAAACCGACAAAGTTTATCTGAATTTGGATTCAAGCATTTTTTTAAATGAATAAATGTGAATGTCAAAAAAAAGAAAGAATTAACTATATCATACTACAGACTATAATATCATTGCATTGATTATCCCAATAGCTAGTCCTTAGCTTCAAAGGATTAATAATTTAGATATTCCATTTTACTCCTGCTCTCCTTTTATGTTCAAAATTGGCTTCAAGACAATTCACACCAACCAATTTATTGGTACGAGAGTGTTCTTTTCAAAGCTATTAGATGGTGTATCCAGGTATCATTAAAATATTAATACATTCTAACATGATTTGTGTTCCTGTAAATCTGTTAAATCTTATGACAGTTCTGGGTTATTTCCAATATTAGGAAATGCAAATAATTGGGATTCCACAGAGTAAGCTAAGGATCTGTTGGCAGGAGATGCTGGAAAAGCACTGGTATCCAGTGAGTAAAAAGTGGACACATCCCACCACCCAGCTACTGCATCTAATTTCACCAGAAACAACTCAGATTAAAGCTGAACTAGAAGAATTTCAAACATCCTACTGCATAAATGTCTATTGATTTAAAACTCAGCAGAGTTTTTAATATTGCAGTTCTGTCAAGTTCCTATGTTACATTTAACAATCAGGCTAATATTCACAGCCCAGACTTTAGCACCTACCTATTAATACGACAAAAATAGCTAAAGTGGTTCTTTAGAGAGATGGCTGTCCTGATGCACCCGGCTGAGCCGAGGGCATGTTAAAGCTGCCATCAATCTCCTTTTCCTCATTTCTGCCTATTTTAGCAGAAGGAGTGATTGTATAGGGCATCCATGGCCCGAGGGAAGAAAAATCTGTTTCCCTGAGCTGCTTCACGCTTGTTTGTGATGAATCCCAGACCACAGGTGTGGTTTTTTACTGGAATGAAACTTGGAATGTAACTGAACTTGTCAGGTCCTAGCCCTTAGAGGGCTGACGATACCTTAACCTTGACAGTGCAAGGGAGCCGAGAGAGCGCTGATAAATCTTCTGTGTTACTTCACCTGAGCATGGGCCAGGTGCAGGTCATACCAGAGAGCATTCTCTAGCTTACTTACTGGCCATTAAAATGTGGAATGAATGACAGATAGTGAAAAATTGTGATGGGAAAGAAGTCCTAATTTACCCAAATCCTTGGTTAATCCAGTGACTTCCCTAATCCTCTCCCATCAGTACAAGGCATAAAATGAGAATGGATTCTGCTGCAGGGGCATCCATGGGGCAAAAAATGTTTTTGCCTCTCTACTAAAAATGCAGCTTTTGATTAAAAATATTCAATTACTTATTTTTTGATGATTTTTTCAGGTTAGCATTTTTCTTCCTACTGAATAATTTCAAAGAAAATTCTGCTAGTAAATTGGTTTTGATGAAACGTGAAACAAAATGTTACCCATTGGGTGAAAAACTTACATATGTAGTCAACACTGTTGTGATTACCCCTTGATTCTTTTGTCACACAGAGATTGACATTGAGCGCTGCGTTCGTGAGTCCATCAACCTTTTCCGCTGGACTCCAAAGAGTGCTACCTATCGACAGCATGCACAACCAACAAAAGTCCCAGGCGATAATGGCTTTGGGAAAACGGCAACATACTTCTCTTCTGACTACCAAGGAATGCCCAAGACAGACTTGGTAAGTTTTGCTTGCCAAGTCCCCCCCCCCTCCCTCCCCGGGTCCACCATAAGATGGTGATATTGAAAGGTAACACTCAGATAATAAAGATGGTATAATTAGGGAAATACAAAGTAATAACAAAACTTATATAGAGGTCAATGGATATACTGTATTTAACGCTTGGATTTTAAAGTTACATGTCAAACAGGGGACGGCACGGTGGTGTGGTGGTTCTCCGGCTTCCTCCCACCATCCAAAAACCTGTATGTTAGGTTGATTGGACATTACAAATTGACCATAGGAGTGAGTGTGCGTGAGTGAGTGAGTGTGTGTGGTTGTTCGACTTTGTGTGTCTCTGTGTGACCCTGTGACGGACTGGCGGACTGTTCAGGGTGTACCCCGCCTCACGCCCATTGACTACTGGGTTAGGCTCCAGTTCCCCCGCAACCCCATTACTGAATAAGCGGTTACGAAAATGGATGGATGGATGGATGGATGGATGGATGTTAAACATGGCATTGTTCAGTATTAGTAATGGGAAATATCACATCAGGACAGATATCCAACTATTCGGTAAGAGTGTAGAACAGATATGCTTACTTTATCAGAAAAATATCATATTGGTGCGATAAGTATTGCTTAATTATTTGACTGATTTCTGATTTCACAACACTGAATGATGCTTTCCGGAGATTTTCAGTTGAATCGAAATTTTAGTTTCAAAATGACACTGTTCCCCTTAGATGGGGGTTGCTTGCTGCTGTAGTTTTTTGTGACATCTGTAAATCAGAAAAGCAAATTTACGTACGAGGTAAAAATGACACTAAGGCCAATATGTAAACATTGTCATTTAGTACTTGGAAATCCTTTAAAAAAGATTTAAATAAATCAATAAATAAATCCTTAAATTGATTTAAATGAGTGGTAAATGAAAAAGGTCTGCAGACCTGCTGTGGAATAATAAAAAGTAGAGTGCTCATGTTTTGTGTAGCAACTTTCATACTTGTTTTTGTTAATTTAGTAAAAAGATATTGAATTATTTTAGCATATGCTACTTTGGAATCTGATGAATTTGCAGCACAGTGAATATTTTTTTCAAATTAAACAGAGATGTTTCAAAGATGTGTTCAACACTCAAGTCCACAGTTTCCAATTCGAAGAATAACTGTGTAAATAGTGCAATATGCCTTCTTTTTAAATAGGATTTTTTAATCACTTTGGAAATATCATCAAAAAACCTTTTTATGCTGTTCTAACATTTATAGGAGCATTTGCACATTTCTCATAGAGGGTTGCTGCTGGCTTATAAAAAAGAAACCAGGCATTCATGATTGTCTCTTAAAAATGACGCTCAGTTTAAGCGTTGGTTTTTCATGGATTAGTGGGTCAGTACAATTTTGACAAGGTTTGACATACACTTTTGTTTAGGTTTATGTGGATCTATGTACAATGGAATTACATGCATTGCAAGGGAGATCTCAACCAATGGAGCATAAGAGTAGTTGTTCTTTGTTTTATGGATTTTTTTGTTATTGTCATTCCATCACACAGACATTTTGTTTTTGTTCAGATGCTGTGGCAGAACCAAGTTTGCCTTTCACACCTGAATGCATCATTTCCATAAAGCTCGCACACCCTCTTGTCAGCCCTGTCTGCTGTGTGCTCCAGTCATTGCTGTAATCCTTTTTTTCTTTAAGCCCAAGCTAATTTGTGTAGGCGCTGGCATTGATTCACGGTTAGGTATACGTGCACTCCATCTCTTCTGAGAGCACATAACAGGATGCACTGTGTTAAACAGTCACTTATATAGCTTGAACAGAGAAGAAATACAGTACCTGCAAAACCGGAAAACGGCAAACAATATTAGTTTACACGTTCTGGTTGTTGTCTAAGGAATAGTAGAGTTAAATTACCCTTTCACCAATTCATGGACTAACATAAACAATTCTAAAAGAGACAAATAGTAACAACAGTACTAAAGACCTGTGCACTAAAATAATGGGATAGTGTTTCAATCCTCTGTGGACATAGCAGAGGAAGCCCATTCAGCAGATTTCGTCCAAGCAGACATTCATCTCTCAAGACAGCTGTCCAGTCAGCTTGGTCGGAGGAGCCAAACACAACGAGGAAAACCTGCTTCCACAGATGTATCTGAACAAACAAACAAACAAAAATACTCCCCCATTATTTTATTTTCTTACTTGTATATTTAGTTTAGTTCATTTTAGTTTCTAAGTTGTTCCAAATCTGGTCATGGCTGGAAGGTGTGGAAGTGAGCGGCATTGTTTTTGTGCTGCATACACCGATATACATCTAAATTTGATAGACCTCAACACAGTGCTACTTCTAAAATAATAAATTAAAATAAACTGCCTATATTCAGCCGTTCATTGTAATAGTTTTGTCTTTAAGATAAAAGCAGGAGAACCCGGAGAGAACCCACGCAGACACAGGGAGAAAAGGCAAACTCCACACCAAAAGGTCCTGGTTCCCCCTGGGATTCAAACCCAGAACCTTCTTGCTGTGAGGCGATGGAGCTAACCACCACACCACCGTACCACCCTAGGTCTACTGTACATACTGTACATTACTAAACATAGTTGCAAATCATGAAGTTGACTGACTGTTGTGGTAAAAAATCATGCACTCATACATTACACTGATAACCTATCTTTTGTTTTTACACTTAAATGTTTTAGCACATCTTTCATCTTAGCACGTCTTTTAAGTCAAACATGCATCCAAAAAACAGTCTTAACAACCAACTTTCTCTACAACCCACTGCTCACTTCAGGGCTCTCTGCCAACGTCAATTATTTTACCATAAACCTTTGTTAATAAGTCTGTTTTATTCAATCTAATAAGTGGGTCAGGATTAAAATGGGAGCTTTATGGGAGTTTTCTTAGTTTAAAGCTCTTATTTCTGAGGAATTTTGTATGTGCAAGCATAAGAGCAGTTAGCATATTTTCCAGATCACAACCCAAGTAATGTTCATCCTTTCTCTGTATGAGTGCAGATTAGCCATATGCGAGAGATGGTTTTTTAAATAATTCTTTATACACAATTGGTATTAAAATGTTTCATTACATTTACAACCATGCAGTCATTGAACTTTCTATTAAGCTACTGTATATCTAAGCAATATAACACTGTTGTTCGTGATTTTTTTTAGCTTTTTTTCTTTTTTTTTCTGTTTTGACTGTTTTGGAAACCTTTAGCATTCCACTCTTCCCTCGAAGATATCACCAGACAAGTTGCTCTCATTTAGACTCCTCACTGTCAGGCAGGTAAAATGCCAAAGTGCCACGAAGCCATTCTGTGCTGGCACACACTGCTCACCCTGACATTTAAGCCACTATGCAGTAATTCATTAGTCCCAACCAAAAACAAGTTGTGCATTTGCCTGTCTCAATCAATTAGGAATATACGCACGTAGATATTTGTGTGTCAATATGTGCAAACTTGTTTAAAGATATACCTTTGTGAGCCATCAATTAAAGAAACTTGGTCAGATCCACTGAATTTCCAGATTCTCGTCAGCTTCCTTACGCATACAAATTGAATAAACCTTATTTAAAAAAGAAAGATTCCTTGAAAAGAAATAGATTGAACAACTGCAACTTAACCTATGTTTAAAATAACTACTAATATGTCCAGGAACATTAAACAAAGAACTCAGTACTTTTTACTGATACATCTTTTACCCAATTAAGTACATATTACATTTAGCTTTTTAGCATTGCTTTAAATAAGTATTTCCTTCAGTTTTTTGGGGGGATAGGCAAAAGAATGGGACTTTTTATACTTAAAATATGTGGTGTGTGATACTTGGACTTTCATTTACTCCTTAAATTTGACACAAAAGAAGTAACATCAAATTCAGATCTGTAGAACCCTCCACTCAATCATATTGAATATACCAAAAGATAAAATGCATTAAATTCAACACACCACTGACTCATATCACTTATCACAGAAGATGGGCAGAAAAAATGACTAAATCAATGGTCATGTGTGTATGTGGGAATTCTTACAACATATAGAAAAGTAGGCATAGATCAGGTTCTTTGTTTTAATCATTCTTTGAACGTGGGTTGAAACCGTGATTATAAATTATTAATACAGGTTAAAAAAATAGAGAGGAAATTTCAGGGCACCCAAACACACTTTAATTTATCTGATACCTTTATTGAAAGCCTTCCTAAATGAAAAGTATTGAAATATAGATAGGAAATAGTTTCCTGGGGAAAAATGAAATTACATCTGCAGAATGGACATTTATATTTCTGGTCACATAGCTTCCTCTTCTAATCTCTTTCGTGATTCTTTGTATTCTCAGAAATAATTGAATTTGATGTCAGTATGCTTAACTATTTTAATCTTTGGAATGTGTATAGACAAAACTGTTGGGATCTGCACCTCTCCCCCCGCATTTTACATTTTAAAAGGCATCTGTGTCATAAAACACTCGGTCACCACTGCAGAGCTGATGTCTGTCCCCCACAGTCTTGCCTCTGGCTCGCTGCTGTAATGAACCCATTTGGCAGTTGAGGTGGAAACCAGCATAGGATTTTGTTTTGGAAGCGGCAGCTTTTCATCTTTCATATTACAGATGGAACTTATTCCCTTCATTCAGACCTATATGAAATTTTTTTTTTCCTCTCCAAACTGGAAGCATGTTTTCACATCTCAACCTTTCTGTCCAAATACGATCGGAAACATTGTAGCATAACTGGAGGATATTTAATCATGATGTCATCTGTTTAAAAAAAAAAGCAACTCACTTACATAAGGACACAGTCAAAATGCAACAAAACCAAAGGTTTAACCTCTCGTGATCTGTTTTATTTAGTTTTTTATTGCCTAGAAAAGGTTTAAAGGGTAAACAGCATTTGGGTTTTATACAGTCACTTATTTTGATGACATGCACAATGACGTTAATCAGATTTTGATATCTAATTTATTACCTGGACAGATGAAAATTAACCTTTCGAGCTGAGTCATTTTGTAAAGCTTTGTCCTGCTTTAACTTCTATGACCCCTTCTCTTTCAGTCTCGGGAGCCCCTGGCACTATGTGACCTGAAAGCAGAAGTGTCTCCAAGAATCTCGGCCGAGGACTTAATCGACCTCTGTGAACTGTCATTAGCTGGACCCTCCAAGAGGAACAAAGCTGGCAAGCCAAAAATTGTAGCTGTCGATATTCGCAGTGTGGAGGAGTATCCTTACTTTGACTTTTACCTACTGGTTCTTTGTTGTCTCCCAGTTATTTAACATCTTAATCAGAATATATTGTTGGGTTGTGAGACTGAATACAGTATAAAGAATCTAAAAATGTATTATCATGAAACAGAATGCCAATGGAGACCCTAAGGTGCAACAACAGTGCATTCAAACAGGTGGAGTGGCCAATCCCCTCGTGCAAGACTCACCAGCTACACTTTTATCCACACCAACCAGTCAGTTAAGCCAGTTAACACTCCAAAGGACACACACCACAAATATTTTTTGCAGTGTCCCTTCAAAGGCATTGGAACTTCATAGGTCCGTAACATCATCACACCCTCAGGAAATTCCTCCACATCTTCTGAACCTAGAGGATTAAAGGTGAAGGGGGAAATGGAGCGAAACAAGCAGCCACAGATTAAAAGCTCACCTACACAAAGTCACTACAACAAAAGTGGTGGTTAGTTGATGAAGCAACAATCTAACAAAGTATTTAGTCAGAGGCGTTTTTAGGAAAAGCATAGCATCACAAAATCAGATGTGAGAAGATTTTCTGGATACTGTATGAAGAAGAAATGGAAACTGACACTTAGTGTTTTTGATCTAAGGATGCTCCTCGGATATGCTCATATCCAAGGAGAATATTCCTCCTTGATGGAAATTATAATGGACACTAAATATTCATTTTACTCTGCGGTAGTAGCAGGTTTACCGCAGACTTATTGTATTGCTTAACATAATTAGGAACAACACGAGGCCATTAACATATTTGCTGGTGCACAAAGGGAACCGGACTTACTGCAGCATTAATGAGTGACTTACACCTCAAGAATATCGAACTGAAGGTCGATTGTGCAGGTATGAATTTATCTTTGACATTTGCAATGACGTGCTTTCTTGGGCTTTGATGTTTGTACCTCCAACTGTGGAGACTGACCTCCTCTCTCCGTGTTGAAGCTCCGTTTATTTCTTTTCAAATGTGCTTTAACAGCACATAAATCTTAATTACCTATTGACCTAGTGTCAATGCAATTGGTTAACTGAACCTCTTAAAAAGCCCAAAAAAATTTTTTGTTAAATAAAATGTTTGGTAGGGCCAATTTAAGAGGGATCATCTGTTCTAGTTATGTGCTGTGAGATTGAAACATCTAGTTTAAAAATCCTACATTCTAAGATTTTAGTTCACAAAAGAAGCAACAAATCATCACTAATCATTATTCGTTAATAATGAAATGTGGATTTAATAAGACTTTCAAAATTTGACTTTCTCTGGCTAAATTCTTTCCACTGGGCAGATTCTCCTCAGGTTTACGCATATGGACAAAGGGGATTTACACACTTTTAAGATTTGGCAACCCTCATTTGTTTCTGTTGTGGTCTTTGAAAAGCTTTGTTGTGGATGTTAAAGGTCACAAAAAGTGGATTAAATCTAAACCTTCGCAAGATCAATCAGAGCAGTCTCACTGCATCTGTCTAACTATCTAGAGCTGGTTTTCTCTTCTGGAAAACAACCAGCAAGTGCCTCATGCTCTTCCAAAGTTAAAAGCAATACTCAGCTATAAAATCCTGTATGTATGTTGTATGACACTTTTATTCTTCTTTGTTGTTTTGGCAGCTGGCAGAGTCTGGTGAACATAGATATTTGTAGCAATAACACAGATGGCTACTCTCACAGGAAAGGAACATGGCACATTTTGTGTGTAACAAGTTTTGGTCCCTTCTGAGATTCTTCACTCTCCTTGTGTTGTTTTTTCCCCCAGTTTTTCATGAAAAAAGAGAAACACCTGATGACGTTTTATGCCCCCTATGATTCTATTCCATGTCTGCTTTTGTTGTCTTGATCTCTTTTGAGCTAAACATAGCTTAAGCTGTTTTAGCGCTAGGAATTTTCCACACGCAAAGAAAAAAGAAGAAGCTTTGTTTCTTAACACCACTATCTCCAGCTTTGGTAGAGGCCACATTTCCGGCAGCATCAACATTCCCTTCAACACTGTGTTCAGTCCTGATGGTGAGCTGGTGCAGTGTCCGGCAACTGGAGCCTTACAGAATTATAGAGGACGAGTTATTGTGGTCATCAGCCATGTCATGAAGAGTGCTACTATGGTGAGAAAGCTGTCGCGCACATTAGGAACATGTATGGAACATGGCAACATGTTTAAGTGTATGAGTATGCGTTTTTATTAGTATTTATCTCAAAGAACTGATGTCCCTTAATAGTAAACTATTTCAGAAAGATGATGGATTAGTTGTAGACTAATCTGTCACTAATGTGCATAATATCTTCATTCTGTCTCTGAAACAGCAGTTTGGGCTGAAGTATCTTGAATAAGTGTCAGGGAGGTGGGTGTTGAGGGAGGACTCAGGTGCGGAGATGAGAGAAACAAGGTTTATTGTACAAAAACAGGGTGAATGTCCAGACAAAGTACAAAGCAAAGCTGTGGAAACTGTGATCAAAGTATCAACGCAAACCAAACAAGACTGAGGCAAAACCATGACAAAGTAACAAAATAACGAATGACAAAACTGTGGCAAAACTGTGACTATGACTAAAACAAAAGACTATGGCAAAACAAACCTGGCGTGGGGGTGACGATGGACAAGACGGACGAAAGACGAAAACGCACTCGCGCCAGACAAGGGGAAACAGGACTATTTAAACACATGAGGGAAGGGATCCCCAGGTGCAGACAATAGGTAATCAAGACGAGACACCAGACATTCCCCCAGACGTGACAATAAGGAAATGCTCAAAATCCTGTGCTAGCAACAGGTCTTGCATAAAATAGGTATTGGTGTGATTGGTTTCATTTGCAAAGCAGATTTAAGCAGGTCTGCCAACATCTGTTATAGGTAACAAGTTACTGTAAAGTTACTGTGCTGTTAACCATAAATGAGGCTGCATGATATGAAGAACATGTACGTCCTTGTAAAGTAAGAAAATGATTCTCTTTTGCTGTTCTGTGTCTTCCCAGTTTGCTGCACATCTGGTCAAGGTGAGTTTTCAGCGTGTTTGTGTCTTGGATGGAGGGATCAACAAGCTGAAGCCCACTGGACTCCTCACTGTTCCGTCCCCCCAGATTTGACTCCATTCCTCAGCTTCACCCTAACAAAAACAAAAGGAAGGCTTCAAGACTGCATTGCCTAATGGGATGTTACATTTAAAAAAATATGAGAAAAAAATCCCACAAGTCATTGATGTTACAGAAAAAAATTTGAAATTCTTCTTTTTATACCCCTGTCTGATTTAAATACGAACACTATAGAGCAGTTGTTGAACTATCATGTTTTTATTTCAAAACAGAAAAATGGAATTGTTTGTGTCTCTTTTGTAAGTATTACAGTTGTGTTACTTTGAATAATTGTGTTGGGGAATAAATTTAATCAGTTCTTTGTTTGTGTTTTGTTCTATTTTTTTTTTAGACCTTTGCTTGGAAAATTGTCTATTTTTTTTCTAGTTTCATGCTAAATGCTTTCAGATATTTGTCCTTCTTGGCTGTTGTAGAAGCTATTTTTCGTATTTACATTAGTGACAAGCTAAAATATGTGTGTTTTGATTCCCCTCTGTCTACCATCTGTATCTTCCAAGGTCTGGACGTCAACAGCCGGGAAAAACCTGATAAGGGCATGACGTCCAATACTTTCCTATCTCATAATACGTACACTGCTTATCAACTATCAATCTAATAAAAATCGACTGCTTGAAGAATGGGGTGTGAGATTCTATGTGTGGCTTTCTCTGGCCACACAGTCTGTCCCTCTTCTGCAGTTGAGAAAAACTTAACCTCTGTGTCAAGCCTTTTTTATTCTGATGCCTCTTCCTGGGTCTATTGATTAATAACTAAACTCTTGATAGTGAGGAACTAGGAGTCGTATTTAGAACCAACATTTCTCTGGTGCCGAAACCCGGGACCCAAGAATCCACCGGTTCGGGACGACGCGGATGCAACAGGACCATTTAGAAATCTGTCGACAGTCTCCGCCATTGCCACGGAGGGTCCACAGCGTGACACCGCGCCGATCCAGACCGACGGTGACGGGTCCCATCGAGCCAGGGGAGGCATCAAATAGGTAAGAAAATTTCCTGTTCATCAATAAGTCGATTAGTAGTTAACCTGAGTAAGTCTGGGACGCCGACGATGACACAAAGTGTAAGTAGGGTTAATGAGTTAAAGTAGAATCTTGTCGGATAGACTTGATTTGAGGTAGAATCTGGTCGAATAGACCTGATTTGAGGTAGAATCTTGTCGAATAGACTTGATTTGAGTTAAAGTAGAATCTGGTCGAGTAGACTTGATTTGAGGTAGAATCTTGTCGAGTAGACTTGATTTGAGGTAGCGAATCCCCCGTTGTGGGGGTCGTGAGTAATTTCTGATACGTCTATCCCCGCCGTGGGAGTTCACGTGGTACAGAAGCATAAATAAAGACTTATGGTGAATCGGGAAGAATAAAATAGCCTGTAGAATTTCTGGTTGACACAGACGTGAGTAATGGGGTTTTTCTTTTTCTTTTCTTTTAAGGTTCAAAAGTTCAATAAATAATTGGAACGGTAGAAGATCACCACTAAATGTTGGGGTATAACTAAGATTGGTTCTGAAGTGGTGATAAGAAATTTGAACTAACAAAGCCGAGGTATAAGGTTGAATTTTTCTGTTGTTTATCAGAAGTGCGCTTTTGGGAGATCTAAGAAAAACGAGATAAAAAGACGGGAAGGAAAAAAGGGAGGAAAAAAAAAAAAGGCGGAGAGCGCCGGCTGTGAGGGAGCGTGTGTGTGTGTCTGTGTGTGTGTGTGTGTGTGTATCCGTTTCCACAATGTATAAGCAATAAGTTTAAGCCCCTGGTTAATATGTGTTAAGATAAAATTTAACTAAAAGTTTTAAATCACACTGTTTGATTGCCAACCACCACGCGGAGACGTGACAAACACAAGAAGAGAAGAGAGATAAAAAAAATAAATAAAAAAAAAAGGGTTCAAGGTAGAAGAGAAGAGAGATTGACATAAAGATGGGAAACGCTCAGAGAAAAGAGTTAATGGAGTCTGAGGATGTTAGATTTATGCAACAACAACATCCCGGATCGATTTCTAGACTTGAACTTTGGGTGAAGAAATGCGGTTTTAAAGCCCGACTCCTCGAACGAGAGGACATTTTAAGAATGG